GAACTATTAAGTCTTCTAGAGTCCTTTGCTGTCACTCAGGAACCATATTACAATTTAAAAACAAACTGATGGGTACAGCACATCTGTGATATGTAGCTGTACTAACATAACTAGGAACAATACATTTCAGTCTTAATACTGTTTCTGTATTTTAATCCACACAATGGAATAGGTCAAACTAGACAATATACTTCATATATAAAACCAATATGTGAAATACAACTGCATTCCTCTCCCCAAATCAGGATCAGAACTACAATGGGCATCCTTTTACCCCTTCAGTTGTTTCTCTGAAAGGTAAGCTGTCACTGCCATCAACAATATGGCCCTGGCCTGCATTTACCTAAAGTAAATGAAAATGAAATGCAATTACACATTACATATCATCTAGTTTAGTAGATTTTCAATCTGAATAAAAATAAATTATAATTAGATGCGGTTCCAGCATCTACTTGTATGGCCTAGACACAAAATATTGCCTTGGGTTATCAAGCACTAGGGAATCTTTCACCTTCAGGTCACAGAAAACTGATTCCCATGTCAGTATGGATCTATCAAGTATTAAGTCTATGGGCCTGTTGGAGAGGCAGTGGAACAAGGAAGCAGTGCTTAGAAAAATACTGGTAAACATCCATCTGGCTGAGGACACAATGATGAGGGAAAGTCAGAACCATTTGAGGCTAGGACCCTTCCTCCTCCTAAAAAAACAACTAACAAACAAAAGCAACATATAAGCTGCCGCCTCATTTTTAAAGTCCCTTAAAAGGGGGAAAAGTGCACCTAATTCAATGAAGTATGATATTTTCAATGGGACAAATGGCAGAAGTACTAAGAAGAGGATCTAGTTTGTACAGGACGTCCTAGGTGAATTAGTGAAACTGTAGATAAGTGAAACAGAGTATGTTTTAGATTAAATATTTTCTATAACCTATATAACACACTTTTAACAATAGAAAACCCATAAATCAGAGATAAATTACAATATGTCATTAATATTTCTAGGAATACTAAAAATTATTCAGAAATTCCAAGTTTGTCCTTTAATTTCTTTGGTAAGAACAAAAGTGATCTCAATGATAGATTCCCTCATCCATTGAATGTTCATAAAGCATAATTTCTTATGGCAACACTTAGTTATATTACAATACATCTACCACACTATATGCCTTTAGATGGCCAGCAGAGTGGTGGGGATATATATTCCTTAGTTCGATGCCTTCCCCTATTGTCAAAGCCACATAAAAACAGATAATTGTACCAGTTGTAAGAAAGGGAATATAAATCTAAACTGTTTTCCTTTGAAAAATTAAGCTAAAGAAAGATCTAATCAACTGAAAACTAGCAAGAGTATTATTCAGGCCAATACTGATTATTCTCTGACCATATTCCCATCAAGAAACAAAAATATCAGTTCCCAACCAGCTATGCCATAAATATTTTGAGAGTTATTAAATCCTGCAATGAGTATTACACTCATATGTAGAAGAATTACTTTTTAAAATAAGGATAAAACTTTTTATTTAAAAAGAAATTATTATTAAAGTGCTTGCTTTATAATGAATGAATGAAGACAATATAACCTTTAAATGTCACATCATGGTCAATGTGAAACCAGTAATATATACTACATGTATATAAGTTCAGTTAATTAGCTTGATGCAAAAATGCATCAAGCCAATTAACTCAAAATGTAAATCTACCATATGAAAACATAATAGTTAAATATACCCTTTGCATAAATGTAAAAATAACCCTCACTATATATATATATTAAATGAGCAATTCCATAAGAAAATTTCCTAAAGCTAACCAAGCCGTGCAGTAATGAAGGTACACAAAATGCCCCACAACTTAATAGTATCTCAGCAAGGAGCACCTAATTAAGTTCCACTCAGGAGACAGTTGATGTGTGTTGAAAAGAATAACATAAAGAGTCATATAACAATTTTCTTGTCAAACAATACTGTAGAAACCTTAGGAACCTCTTCAGGAAACCTTTTAGAAGCCCTTCTTCTTCTGGCTTTCATAGTCTTCTTTGGTTTCCTTTACACACTACTGTATGTTCCTAAGAAAAACCAACTTAATAATTCTCTCTCAACTTCTTTGTCACACTCTTTTTTTTATTAAAGAGAGTACTCTAATATATAAATCTCAGACTGACCTCTGACCACTCAGGAGAAATCGAACTGAAGAGTAAATCACTTTCATCTTTTATACTTGGGAGGAGAATGCAATAATTAGGGGGCATGGTGAGTTAAATGTTCTTTTCACCCTTAGGAAGAACACCCAGGTGCGCAAAGGAAGCTTTGAGATGAAAATAATTAGTGTTTCCTAATTGGAAATATTCTAGAAAATTGACCAAAATTTGAATTGCTTTTTTGTTTGTAAAATATGCATAAGAAATAAAGTCACAGACATTAAACTTAGGAACACTCAACATATACAATGCCTACATAAAATATATACCTCAAAATTTAGATATTTAAATTGAACATTAATACATTTTGGTTCCTAGGAGGGGGAACACATGCAAGAATAATGAGGTCCTATATAAGTCAACTTCTAAATATGGCAAATGAAATTCTACTATTGAGCTTCATATTATTAGATTAATAAGTGGTGTGAAATAACAGTAAAGTATTTTGGAACGCTAACAGTTTTGACAGTGAAACAATTTCATGAACTTAACATATGTTGTACACCGCTGTGAGTCGCCCTCGGGCTGATAACAGCGGTATATAAATAAAGTAAATAAATAAATAAATAAATAATTTCACTACCCAGAATCTTACAAATTGTTAAGCATAGGATAAAATCCAATGTCACACAAACAATGCAATGTTCCCAACCCACTGGAGGAGATATTAACAGCAGGTAGAGTAATGGAGTTTTCTCCCTCTCAATTTCTAATGAAAGCAATTTTGTTGGTTATAGGAGTTAACTGGATATAGGAAGAACTTAAGTTATTTTTTAAAAAGTACTTTTCTTCTAAAAACATATTCATGTATTCGTCTTACAATACTAAGACTACCATTCAGTTTATTTCATTATTTTCCTAAAACTTCATCCACAAATTTGCAAGTAGTTCGTCACAGAACCATATGATTTCAGACACGCTGATAGACCTTAAATACATAGTAGTAAAAATTCACAGAGATTTTGCTAAACATGCCAGAAATTATTGAGTTGAATCTTAGTTTGGCCAAGTCCCAATGCAAATGTAATCTTCTCTTTTTCACCCTTCCACTATGAATTAAACTTAATTCATCAGCTGTGATCTGTCACTTTATGTTCATTCCAGAATAAGTAATCAAGATATTTTTTCTAAGACAAAATTCTGTGAACTGCTAACTGAACAAAAACAAAAAAGAAATCTACAAAATGGTTACTATTTTCCAGTTGTAATTTCTTATTAACATTTTTCTGCCCTATTGCAATTGCTTGTTCAGTTAACATCTTGAAGCAGGATGAAGAATCTGGCAACACATTTGTTTGATAATATAAATAATGAATGAATAAACTATTTAAACTTACTTTTATCTTCCGAAACTGTAAGGACTTTTCAACACTTTTGCTGTAACAGGCAAATTATAATAGAAACAACTTAACAGTGTCAATTAGAAGTGCACTGGTTCAATTCCATGTGGGAATCCAAAGGGAGAGAAAAATGATTCACAGAAGATAATTAATTGCCCAAAAGTTTATGAGTATTATCCCTCTTCCACAGGAGCAACCCTGATTTAATTCTTTCAAAGGAAGCACGTCGTCCGCACCATCAAAAATAAGATTATTTTGAAATGATGTGGAAAACAGTTTTGCATTTTCTTTAAAAGAACTGAATCATGGTTGCCCCTGAGGAAGCTATAATACTTGTAGCCTGTTGAGCAATGATTTATCTTCTGAACACACCTTAAAAGATTTCTGCCCCTTTCATTCAGGCAAGTGGTGCCTTTTTTCCTAATCCATCAAACAATTCAATTTTAACTTATTAAGAGATGCACTTTGTATAAGCAATCAATACTGAATTTACCTTAAGACAGTGAATATGCTTTTAAAAAGTTGATGATTCAAGGCATATACAACCTTCCAGTTTAAAAATTGTTGTTTTCACATCCTATTTTAATTTTTTCCTAAGCTCTTCTGTTTGGTTAAATTTCAGTCTAATATCATGTATGCCTTTATTGAATGGGTGAATTCTCTCTCTCTCTCTCACACACACACACACACACACACACACAAGATATTTTCAGGTTTTTTGTTGTGAGTAGCAGAGAAGAGGGAAGTAATTTCTGCTAATATGATACTTGTAGTATGGGTATTATTTATGAAATCATTGAACATACTACTTATGCTACAGTTCCTAAGGGAAACTGTGAAATATGCATGTACACACACATGTAGACACAAAATTGGCAATTTAGAACTTTGAAAAAAAAGGGAAGAAATAAGTATCCTTATCTGTTTAAAAAACAACAAAATGGAGATACAAAAATACAATTGAAACAAGCAATTGTTCCAATTCATTGCAAAATTATTAAACTCATTGTTATGGATAATTTAAACACTGTGAACAAAATTCCATTTAGAATACACAGGTCTATTTCACATATCTATCAGGAATTACAATCTTGATAGGTAACCCTGGTGTTAAAGATAACAGTGCTCTGCTATGTGACTTCTGAAAATAATCAAGGAAGTAGTATTACATAACTGGTACAAATTGCTATTAAAATAATTAATATTAGATGGAAATGTGAATGAAGGCACTCCTGCTTCAAACTGTAAATATTCTATAATCGTCTGAAGAGAACATAATGATACATTAAGTTGGTCTAGTCTAACTCTATGGTTAGCATATACTTAAACATATAATTATAGTCTAATCTGTGAAACACACACAGAGTGTTAAGAAAATCATGCCACGTTCCTGCATTTATATCCTTCTTTCAGTTGCAGTCAACTAGACAACTAATATAACTATAAAACAAAAGCTCACTAACCCCCAACATGAGCTGTTCCTCTGTGCTTCTTTGAGCTCTTGTTTGACTTAGCACCATGCAATGCATTTTCTTTAAACTGGAGCTCACACAGTGTTTCAAGAAGAATGGTCATTTCTTCAGTGATGGTGTCCAAATAAGTTTCATTAATAAATTTCACTGTTGAAGATGGTTCAATAATTCCATTTAGTATACACAGGTCTTCTTTTATCATTGCACACAGGACAGGAATTGAGCTTTCATAACCATGAACCATTTTTTCAAAGTTTGTTTCACCACTGCTTTCTAGAACACATTTCTGCAAAAGATCACTAACCAATTTATTCTGCATTTTCTGGTATTTGTCTAGTACTTCTGATTCAGGATAAAGAAATAAAAGCTGTTGTAGACACTGGATTTTAAGCTGCAGCCGTTGTTGTAAAGCACCATTGCTCGTTTCCTGATGGTTTTGGAGCTGGCTTACTAAAAATCGTCGAAGATGTAATCGCACATCATTCCAAATACATTGAACATCCACCGTTGAATCATCTTCAACACCATGAAGCGAAGTTCTGGATGTAAACTCAAAAGATGCTCCACTTGGAGTACAAGGAAATAAAACACCACATTGGCTGGAGAGATCAAGGAGAAAGTGAAGAATAATTTCTTCTTGGTTTTGTTCATTTTTCAACAAGTTTTGCTAAAAGAAGATAAATAATATTAGGTTAAGGGGTTATATATAAAGAGGGCCCAAATAAACAAAAGGAATCAGATCCCATCTAATCTTGAGTAATTGGATGGGAAACCAACAATGAATAACTGGTGCTGTGGTCTATATTGCAAAGGAAGGAACTGGCAAAACCATCTCTGAGTATTCCTTGTCTTAGAAACTTAATTGGGTTGCACTGAACTTGAAGATACATACAGTGGATGCCTGCTATCAACTGGGATTGGATTCCATAGCAACAACTGTGGATATTCAAGTCCTCTTATGTATAATGATGAAGTAAAATGCAATCCCTTATGTAAAATAGAGAAATCAAGGTCTACTTTTTGAATAAAAAAACACCTTCAAGCCATGATTGGTTGAATCCATGGCTACAAAATTGGTGGATACAGAGGGCCAACTGTATACGCAAGATATTATATGAACAACTATTTAAAATAAACAACACACCTCCTTAAAATGCTAACCACTGTTAACTACTACTTTATCTACAAAACAGTATTCCTTTATATTTCTTCTATTAACTACTTCTTTATAGTCATTCTTACTTCTCGTTAGATGAAGTAAGCATAACCTACTATACTAGGAAAGAAAGCAAAAAATACATCAGGCTGCAATCCTACATTTCTTAATAAACTTGTATAAATCTGCATGATGAATCACAACACAACTTGAATTGCTCTAGGAATAAATCCCAATGAATGCAATAGGGCTTACTTCTGAGTATACATGCATAGGATTACACTGATAACTTCTGCACTTTTTAGTTCTCTCTGGAGACTGTAACTATATTAGAGGAAAAACGTAAGTAAGGATAAAGACCTATAGAACACAATGGATTCAGTCATACCTGAAGTTGATCCTTCTAAATCAATGTAATTTAATTAAACATAATTAATGTATCCCATTTATTCAAACATGTCCACTCAAATTTAGATCCAAAGATTATACTTTATATAATGGGGTTAGTTCATGTGTAAATGGTACCCAAACATATTAGAACAAGTTTCCTTAATACTCAGCTGTCTAAAAATGATTTTAAAAGCAATTTTTAAGCAATTATAACTTCCCATAATATTGTGGAAAATGTTGTTCTATTAAAAATCATAAAAACCAAATAACTATCAAACTAGCCAATAGACTTCGCTCTTATAAAATATGAATCCAAAAATGTCTTCTACAAGCAAGTTCCAGTGCTGCTTTTGAAGCTTAAACAGAAACATTTTAAATTACAAAAGCCTATCCAGCCTAAGGAGTGTTCAAAGTCTTTTCAAATTGAAAATATATCCCTAAAATGGTCACCAGGAGGCTTGCACAAACCATCTTGGAGTTGGTACTCCTAAAAGAAGAGTTCCCGCAGCTGTCTTTGAAGCTTTGCAAGCTTAGTTTCACATTTCAAAGTCTTTTTGAACACTGCCTATGTTAAGACAGGCTTTTGTATTTGAAAGGTTTTTTAAAAGCTTCAAACAGTGCTGCAGGTGCCTAACAGAAGAAACATATCCAAAATGGTAGACATAGGCAATTTTAAAGTATATTGTATGTTTCCCATGAGCATATTTTACTAGTAATAACCAAAGAAGATACATTTAACCAACCTTGTTAGTCCTTGTCTGTGAATGTATATTTTTTAAATATACTTCACTATGCAGAATATTGGATATAGGATGGGCTAAAAGTACAGCAATAATAAAAACTTTATTTATATACTGCCCTATCTCCCAGAGAGGACTCAGAGTGGAATCCAGCAGAGGGTAAAACACTCAATTGCCGAACGACACAAAAACCATACAAAAATAACCATTATAAAATATAAACATAATCATATTAAAATAATCACAAACATTTAAAAACCTGTTTCAGTTTTACTCCATCAGACAGGATACAAAAATACCAATGGCCAGAATTACAAAGCCTAGTGCAATGATTGGTTAATGAACACTGGAATGGAACAATGGATGACGAATCTGGAACATGTTTTTGATGACGAGACGACAGTGAATGGGCATTGTAGTAACTGTTTATTAATTGTGTAATGTGTTAGGTTGTTAACTGTTTCTATACTGTAGCACTGAATTTTTGCTGTTCGTATTTGTTGTAAACCACTGTGAGTCGCCTTCGGGCTGAGAACAGCGGTATATAAGTAAGGTAAATAAATAAATAAATAGTCAGCTATGAAAGGGCTGGGCAAGGCCTAGTGCAGTGCTTCTCAACCTGGGGGTCGGGACCCCTGGGGGGGTCACAAGGGGGTGTCAGAGGGGTCACCAAAGACCATCGGAAAACACATTATTTTATGTTAGTCATGGGGGTTCTGTGAGAGAAATTTGGCCCAAATCTATTGTTTGTGGGATTCAGAATGCCCTTTGATTGTAGGTGAACTATAAATCCCAGCAACTACAACTCCCAAGGTCTATTTTCCCTAAACTCCACCACTGTTCACATTTGGGCATATTGAGTATTTGTGCCAAGTTTGGTCCAGATCCATCATTGTTTGAGTCCATAGTGTTCTCTGGATATAGGTGAACTACAATTCCAAAACTCAAGATCAATGCCCATCTAACCCTTCTAGTATTTAATGTTAGTCATGGGAGTTCTGGGTTCAATTCCATCGTTGGTGGAGTACAAAATGCTCTTTGATTGTAGGTTAACTATGAATCTCAACAACTACAACTCCTAAATGACAAAAATAATGCTCCCCCCAAGTCCACCAATATTCAATATTCAAATTGGGGTGTATCGAGTATTCGTGTCAAATTTGGTCCAGTGAATGAGAATACATCTTGCATATCAGATATTTATGTTACGAATCACAACAGTAGCAAAATTACAGTTAGGAAGTAGCAATGAAAATAATTTTATGGTTGGGGGCCACCGCAACATGAGGAACTGTATTAAGGGGTCGGGACTTAGGAAGGTTGAGAACCACTGGCCTAATGCAACGAAGTAGCATAGGGCTGGGGAAGTGGATAAAGTGAAGAGCAGAGTCCTAACTGATGGCCAGGGAAGAGCCAGGGAAGAGCCTGGAGCTAATAATTTTCAAAGGCCTGCTGGAACCACCAAGTTTTCAGGTCCATGCGGAAGAAGGATAGTGACGTGGCTTGTTTTATCTCTCTGGGGAGAGCGTTCCAAAGTTGGGGGACCACCACCAAGAAGACCCTCTCCCTCATCCCCACCAACTGTGCTTGTGACAGTGATGGGAGCGAGAGGAGGGCCTCTCCGGCAGATCTACGAGTCTGTGCTGGTTCATAGGGAGAGATGTGATTGCGGAGATAGGCAAGGCCTGAAGCATTTAGGGCTTTGTAGGTCATAACCTGCACCTTGAATTGGGCCTGGCAACTTATTGACAGCCAGTGGAGCTGTTTTAATAGGGGCGCTGTACATACCCTCTAATTAGCCAATATATTATTGAAAATAGGGCTATGAGGTGCAGGAATTCTTAGAACATAGCAATTAACTAGACCCCTTTCAAGCACACTTTATTGCTACTCAGGGAGAAGAGACTGCATTGGTCTCCAGGGTGGATCATTCACGCCAGAAACTGGACAGGAGAGTATGTTTTGCTGCACCTCTCAGCAGCTTTCAATACAATCAACAATGGCATCCTTCTGAGTCACCTTTTAAAATCTGTTTAAGAGTGGTTTCAGCCCTGTACATGTGAAAGGGTACTCTTAAAGAAGACACACTAGCAAAATCTTAACTGATATTTCCACATAATGATAATAAACAAGAGAAAAGACAAACGTGAGTGAAAATAATTTGCATTTATGGAATAAAATGAAACCCAGCATTTGCTCACCAGAGTTTGGAGAAATCTGATCAATTCTCCACGAGGTGTTGACAAAGGCTTGATTGAGCTGAAACTGCAATTATTTAACCACTCAAGGCAGTCAGATGTGTCCTGTAACAACTCATCAGAACAAGTTTCATTTATTTCTTGTTGAAGCTCTTTAAGACACTGTTCAATGCTAAAGGATAAACAAAGAAAATATTTTCACTTTTTAAAAGTAAATATATATCCCTTCACAACTAAGTATTCAATGTAATACGCCATATTGTGTAATGGTTTAATTTTTCATATCCGCAACACTAGTATTTTATTAATGATATGAATGCACAAGACCACAGGTGTGACTCAATGTACTGGATCTTAATCATCTTATTGCATTTTTTAAAATACTTGGTTTTGCCTCATCTGTGCCAGTTATATGTAGAACTGGGAAGTCCTGGCCCTTGAGCACTCCAGTTGTAGGTCAGTTGTGACCACCAGTGCTGTAGAATTTGAAGAGGCCCAAATGGAGGGCGAAAGAGAGAAACGTGCCAAGAGGAAGGTGTGTCAAGCCAACCCCGACCAGAACCACCTTCCACCTGGTAAAGGATGCCCTCACTGTGGGAGAAGTTGCAGATCAAGAATAGGGCTCCTCAGTCACCTACGAACCCACCGCCAGGACACTACACTTGGAGGACCATCATCCTCAGACTACGAGGGATCGCCTAAGAAAGTAAGTAAGTAAGCCAGTTATATCTGTGTTTCCAAGGGATTCTCTATGCATATGTTCATATGCACAGATACTGTAACTTAAATGGTCTTGACACTTTTCCTTCAGTTGGTTTGATGTGGCGGTATCAGAAATAGCAGCATAAAAAGATGTTTCAGCTACAATTTTTCCAATATACTATATGATACTTTGAGATCTAAGCTAAGATTTTAGTAGGGCAATAAGCAAACTGGCATAGTCCTCCCCATAGTTTTCGGGTATCAGGGAGCTCAACTAGGCATGTCAGGAGAAAAATCAGTATCTCAATATATAACAGTTAAAAAGCTAATATTATTATGATTGGCCTTTCCTCAACATCTATATTCAATAATATTTTATTTCTGACTAATATGTTATTAATGTATAGAATTCATGCATTTCTATCTTTTATATTTATTCAGCTAGAAAACTGATTTCTTTTGATCCCAACAGGTGTGTTTTCTGAATTTTGTAGTGTTAATGTGAATTGTTATTTTTTATTGTTTTTGTTTTGGGCAGCTTATAAATAGCATTCATATATATGTGTGTGTGTGTGTGTGTGTGTGTGTGAGGGAGAGAGAGAGAGAGGGAGAGACTGATCGCATACAAATACATTAAGATGTGACTTATAACATGTTTGCTTTTAATCAAATGCAAAAGAATACTAGCAGTCAGAATCGCTTACTTAGTTTACTGTGGTTGAAATTTTACTACAGCACAGTCTCTTAGAATTAATCTGTCTAATCTTCTTATCATTATTAGAACAAATTATTGATATACTGTGTCCCTTAAAGGCTTGCATTGGACTGTGGTGATCTATGTTAGCCTGAAAATAAATTACAATTACAGCAGATTTAGGTGATCAGACAATTGTTGAGCTATCCTAATTCACAAAGATGTGACATATTCCATTTGACTGAGTGACGCCCATTAGATAGATTTAGACAAAATATCTTGGAAGTCGAAGTCTATGGTTTTTCTATCAAGTTTCAAAAATCATAGGAGGAAATTATAGAATCATAAAGATATACTGCTATCAAGACACAGCTATTTTTTCCACTTTGGTCCTCCCATTGATGAAAAAGCCATCTAAAAAAGAAGGTATTTGTTTCAGGTACCGCTGAAGATTTCTTCAATTTTTATGGATTTTTTTAAAGCTCAAATTATGTTTTTCATTGTACTGTATTAGTGTCAACTTGTTGTCTAAAAGGACAGTGTTGGAAAACAGTTAAAACAGAGGAGATTTTCATATCCCCCCACAGTGTATTGACTCTACTGGTAAAACACAAAGGAAGGCCCTCCAAGCAGATGTCAATGTTTGTGCAAGCATATGTAGAAAGCGGTGGTTCTTTGAGTATGGAGTAACCATTTTAGGGCTTTATTATAATCAGCATCTTAAATACAGAAATAATTTTGGCACCATATGAAATTCCTTTAAGACCAGTTGTATGCTTCCTGTATAGTATTCTGATCAGCAGCTTAGCAACTGCATTTTACATTAACTGCAGTTCCTGGGTCATCTTCAAGGGCAGCCCCAGTGCCGAAGTATAATTAGGAAATTACCAGTGCATTAACTATTTTAGTTAAGGTATCCCTGCCCAGGAATGGCTTCGACAGGAAGCAGGCCAGTGACATTGATGCCAAGCACCCAGAGCCATGAAATCCACCCTGACCTTAAATGACATAAATGGACCATTCTCAAACTATGTAACTCCTTTATTACCCCTAGCGAGGGGAGGAAGTCTTATTTATTTATTTATTTACATTATTTCTATCCCGCCCATTTCAGCCCGAAGGCGACTCAGAGCAGTATACACAGTCGGCACAATTCGATGCCGAAACAAAATACATACATTAATAAAGCAAAAACATCAAGTGCAAGTTAAACATAAACGACAGTGCATAATAAACAATTTAAAAAGAAACTATATCCTCTCGTTCAAATCTTCATCCGTTACATTGTCTTGGCCGTTCCTGGGTCAATTTCCAACTCTAGTTTGTCTGTTTATTCCGGGGTTCCGAATGCTTGCTCGAAGAGCCAAGTTTTTACTCTTTTTCGGAAAGTCAGGAGGGAAGGGGCTGATCTAATATCCCTAGGAGGGAGTTCCACAGCCGGGGGGCCACCACAGAGAAGGCCCTGTCTCTCGTCCCCGCCAGTCTTCCCAACCCCTCAGTCTCTAATCCACAAGCTCGCATATCTTTCTTAATGGGTCTCAGCTTCAGTTTATTGGCCCTTTTCTAACCCATTACATCATCCCGACTCTGGTCCAGAGTCTGCACAGCCCATGACTCCAAATAACAAGAGGAATTGGAGCTAAAGGCCATCAGTAGTATATCGATAGCACCTGCTCCCAAAACCTTTAATGACCTTTCTAGATATTTATGCTTCTCGGTCCCCTTGCCAAATTTGTCCACTTGTTTGCAACTAACTCAATAAGATACTCTTAACCAAGAACAGAATAGTTGTTTTGTTATTAAGTTCTAATTATTTAGCATTATATTGGTATCAAAGAGGTATATCTTAATGAACTCTGCCACCAGACCTATTACATATAAGTTCAATTGTATACATTGCATATAAACACTTGATATATCATGTATTTGTAAATCACCAAGATAACTTTTTAAAATGAAAAATACTTTTTTTTTCAGAAATGGTGGATTCAGTAGCAGCTTACCTAGAAGTATTTTTCTTGATTTTCTCATCAATATCACCAAGGATCTGTTGAAATTCCAGTTCTCCAGGAAGTATGTTCAACAAACAATCCAAATTAGAAGAATCAAGCGAGTATTCACCTCCCCACTCCATTTTCAAGTGCTAAATTAGACAACAAAAAAGAACATTTTAAAATTTCAACCATGTATGGATTGATGCTGTATATTTGAAAATTTTAGGGTAAACTGCTACACGGAGTTTGAAAAAGAAAAAAACATAGAGCTGGATATAACTAGCTTCACTAAGCACTTCTTTTCCCCAATTATCTCCAAGTAGCACCTACTCCATCAAACTGAACAGATGAAAAAAGAACAGGAGAAAAGAAAATACTATCAGTTTAGCTCTTCTTTATCTTAAAACGTTTCCATTTAATAAATAATAATAATTAATAATAATAATAATAATAATAATAATAATAATAAGGACGAACTTTATTTGTATACCACCCCATCTCCCCGAGAGGACTTAGAGCAGCTCACAACAATATAATTACACAAATCATCTTGACAACAACACACATAAATATACCCAATTTAAATTAAATCAACAGTTAACAATGAAGCAAATAATATAAAAATAAAACCGCATTTTAAAATTACATAAAATTCCCGCCACTCCCAGAAATGAAATTCCTAGAAGAATTGAATCAAATGGGCTTTAAATGCAATTGGCTTCTATAGTATATAGACAGCTGCATGAGAAATTTAAAGAACAACTTAGAACATTGGGTTTCTAGACTATGAAAACATGGTTTGATGGGGCAATGTTCCAGTAACCAAAAGGACCTATATCATATATATACAAAAATCTACTGACAGTACACAGAATAGGAAGTAGTAAAAGAATCAATGGTTAGATGGGCTCAAAACATAGGCCAAAAGATAAAAATGGCCCAATGGGAAAAGACATGGAAGAGAATAATGAAATACACGGCATGTCAAAACTTGAAGGATAATGTCTACAAAAGGCATCTATGTTGGTATCTTCCTCCAGAGAGACTAGCGAAGCTGTACAACTGCACTGACAAATTTTGGAAATGTAGTAAAGAAAAAGGCACATTTTACCACATGTGGTGGATGTGCAACAAAGTAAGCTACTGGAAACAGATTAATATATATCTCAAAAAGGTGTTAAAAATAATTTCAAAATGACAACACAGATGTACCTTTTGAACATGCCTGATGAAGAAATGGGAAGGAAATTTGGAAAAAATTGTTTTACATGGCACCGGCAGCTCAAATAGTATATGCCAGATATTGGAAAACCTCAGAGATACCTCCCTTAGAAGGGGAAAAATACATTACTGGTTTACTGATAATGGATAAAATAACTGTATTCTTAAGAGGAGAACTACTAGAAAACTTTGTTAATGGATGGCAACCAGTGATTCAACATCTCAATGTAAAATTAAACTAAAAATTTACATAGGGGATCCTATAAGACTGTAGACAAGGAAGAAGCGGATATTAATTTAGAGCCTTTGATACCTTTGTATGTTCTCTCTCTCTCTCTCTATATATATATATGGAACTCTAATAGCTGGAAAGTATTGTACTGTATGCAACAAACACAAATGTATGTCTAATTGAATAAATAAATAAATCTAATAAAAAAATCCCAGCCATTGTTCAAGTGAAAAGGAACAGTAAGATCCAATTTTAGATTTATCTCATATCTACAACTACTGGATGACATTAAGTTTACCCATTTTCAAACGCCTGTTTGAATAGCCAAGTTTTCAGTTCCTTCCAGAAAATGGATAGTGTGGGGGCCTGTATAGTCTCCATGGGGAGGGCATTCCAGAGCCGGGAAGCCACTACCGAGAAAGCCCTCTCTTTTGTTTCAACTAACTGCACTTGTGACAAGGAAGGGGCCATGAGGAGGGCCTATACAGCAGATCTTAGGGTCTGAATTGGTTCAATGGGGGAGATGCAGTAGCTTAAATAGGCTGGGCCCAAACTGTGTAGGGCTGTATAGGTACTAACTTCACTTTGAACTGGGTCCAGAAATCACAGGCAGCCAATGAAGATGTTTTAATGGTGGTGTGTGGTATGGTATGTGCCCTATAATTTGCTCCAGTCAATAGCCTGGCTGCTGATTTTTGCACTAATTGTAATTTTCGAGCTGTCTTCATAGGCAGCCTCATGTACAGTACATTTCAGTAATCCATCTGAGATGTAACCAGGGCATGGTTACATCGTGACCAGATCAGACTTTAAAGCTTGAGCACAGTTGGCGCTGAAGCTTTAATTGTGCAAAGGCCCTCCTGGCCACTGTAAACTGATCACTGTAAGAACTTTGTAACTAGGAATAAGTGCATCAGTTTGCTTTTTGTCTTTGCTCCCCAATAATTTTCTTATATATACTATGTATTGAGATCATAAGCCTGAAAATAGGGATCACCTTGTTTCTCATTGATATTGTATATGTTAATCTACAGGCATTTTTCGCAGAAAATGTACTTCCTCCTTTCAATAAATAAACATACCTCCATGTTTCAGCTGTTCCAAGTGAATATATTAGAATTTGATATGAAAGTCCATTGGACTGGATTAAAAATAAATGTAAATAAGGACACAGTGAAGTGCAGCGGTTTTCAAAATGAAAGTTGAACCCACAATAATCCATTAGAATTCTAAGGAGGCTTTGAACTGGTGCATTACTTCTAGCATGTTACTTTTAGTAACTAGCCCCATTGTTCAGTAATGAGTTGTAATAGTGTTTGTTACTGCTTTATCTGTGATGGTAAGTGCAATAATTATTTACTTTTCACAGTGAGATAATGGGGTTTCCGTTATTACCAGATGCTGAAGTAATAGGAAGGACTGAAGGGAGGTTCACATGAGTAGCGCTACCTCATGCTGCTTATTTGTGCATTAATGTACAGCTAGCAAGGAAAAGAAGAATCAGCAGCAAAGAGGAAAGGAGAAAGAATCCAAAATGGCTAAGGTGAGTAGACAGGTACACAATAAAATGAAGAATAAACACTGTCCCACAAATCTAAACAGCAAAAGAAAAAGGGGGGGAAATCAAATGCCCACATTGAATAGGGAGGATAACTGACTAGGTTACAGTACTTCAAAGACAGTTTAGAATGGCAACCCAATGCTCAGCTAATTGATAGCAAAATAGAAAAAAGTAAATGCTAATCAGATTCAATCTGTTATCTCTTTGCTCTGAGAAAAGCAAGAGGCCCAACTCGAGGCAGTTAAATCAATAAAATAAATTCCTTCCTAGACCTTGTACTGGCAATCACAAAGCACCCACTTTGTCACAGAAAGTGCTAACACAGATTTAAATTGTTTATACAAGGGGGGAAAGGGAGCTAGAACGAGTCACTCTAATTCTAAACCAAATAACCTGCTACTTCTTTACTGTAAATGTATATCTACTATACAATACATACAGTACAAACCTCATGTCCACAAGGGATACAATTCCAGAATTTGTGTAGATATGCAAAACCATGTATAATACAACAACAATTTTATTACAGTCCATAGACCCATCAGTAAAACCAACAGTCATTTTAATTCTCCCAAGTCCGTTGTACAAGATACATCTACATGGTTTCAAGTAATACCCCTATCGAGCCATGTATAATAACAAACCCTATTGAAATGAAAGACTTCTGGTACAAGGATGCCATATAGTCATGCTGGAGGACCTAGAAAATGCTTAGAGTGGACTCATATTTTGTCAAATGTGGATAAATGATCTCACAGATACAGGTCATATCACATGGATGCTGGCATCTTATAATAATATTTATAATATCATATAATACTAATATATTAGCAACCTTTTCATTTATTTTTTGAAATATATGTAATGTTTGTATAATAAATACATTTTATTGAAAGGTTAGTGATATCTTTCTGGAAAGCAGAGCCATATCAATTGTTATGTAAAGCTTAATGAAAATATATATAATAAAGCATTTATGCATCTAAAACATCTAATAATCTAATAAGATAATGCAATCTGTATTCTAATCATTGTTTTCTTGTAATATTTTATATTTTTAAATTATTGTCTCTGATCAGAGAACATATCTTGGAGAGTGCTTTAAAGGTGCAACAAATAAATAAGTATTGCTACTAAGTATATATAATACTTTTTTCATCTATTAATTATACAGTTATAAAACACAAGAAATCTACAGATGCCATTGGAGTATGCTTCCCATTTAACACATTTCTCATGTGAAAAGTCATTTTTGTAAACACAGCGGTTTAGTTTTTATGCACGTAATTCCTATAAGATTTCTGTGTCATACTTGCTCAGATTACCTGTCAAAACAATATATTTGCTCTTCTTAGGTGCATATGATCTTCTTAGCTTATGGGAATAAAAACAGTGTTCCTGAGATGCCATTTGAAATGTCATATCCTGAAGTAATCAATAAATATTATCCAATATATTCTCCCGGAAACGGCATACATGATGTAAATGATTTACATAAGCAAGTTTATACTCGAAGTTTATTAAAAGGTTATATAAAGCTCATAACTTAATTTTAAACAAGCATGTTACAATTATGTATTAGAAGCATCTATTTATTTGAATGTTAAAATTATTAACTTCTATATTTTTACTTGAAGGGCAGGGATCTCTTTATTATGATTTGTAATAGTATTTCATAACTGTGCAGTTTTCTGGCATTGTATATTTCTGCCGCTTCTGTGATGGCTCGTTTGTATTTTGATTCTGTAGCCCACTTGTCAATGGATGTCCAGAATCAGCAGCATCCACCGCGGTCCTTTTTATCCTGGGCGTCGACTGAGCCAGTATAGACTTCGTTTTGGTTTGCTTCTCCATAGGGCTAATGGGTTAGGTGCTCTTGGTTCCACTCATCAGTTGAGACCTCTCTGGCTTGGTTGGACCTACTGGTAGTTACACTACCACCAGCATAGCTCTCAGCATCCTTGGAGCAGTTAGCCCCCCCACCACGACAAGGTGGCACCCATCTATTATTATTATTATTATTATTATTATTATTTACTGACACAAAAACACTGTATGTCACAGCAAATGAGATATATATGCCGGATTTCGTATCACAAAATCACAAGTCGAACACTTCTCAAGCTAAGAATACT